AAGAGGACAGACGGAGTGGTGTATGTGTGTGTGTGTGTGTGTGTGTGCAAGAGAGAGAGAGAGTGTGTGTATGTGTGTGTATTTATTTCAAAGCACTTAAGTCTACAAAGTCTGAACATGATATATTAAATTCCTTTAAATTACTTCTGCTTACTGCTTTTTCTTTTTATCCTGGTTTACTAATAAGTATGATTATAAGCTACTGTTGGTAATGGTGATAATTTAGTATCGCTCAATAGTGTCTAACAGTGTCTCAAAGATTTATTTTCAAATGACTTTTATTGGGCTGGAGCAATAGCACAGCAGGGAAGGGCATTTGCCTTGCATTAGGCTGACCAGGTCGACCCAGGTTCGATTCCTCCGCCCCTTTCAGAGAGCCTGGCAAGCTACCCGTGATGTATTCAATATGCCAAACAGAGTAACAAGAAGTCTCACAATGGAGATGTTACTGGGCCCGCTCAAGCAAATCAATGAACAACTGGAGGACAGTGCTACAGTGCTACAGATTTTTATTGGGCAAAGACCTCACCACCATCTCTGGTTTATGCAGCTAGTAAAGATGCAAGACACTATGAACACCAAAGCCAAGATCTGTAGGCTAATACCAAATGAGTTCAAAAAGAAGCAAAGAGAAAAACTAAAATTTAAGTTCAGGGAGAAAGAGAGATAACACACAAAACCACTACCTCTGCTTTCATGAGCTCCTCCCAGTTTTCTCCCCCTTAAACGAGAACAGATCTTCCCAAAAGGGGACAGTCTAAGAGTCTCAATTGCATGAGAAACATATTTGTCAACCTTCTAAGAAAGCTAGGTCAAGTGCTCTTAAATAACTGGATAGGAGAGAGATCGCAAGGATTAAGGTACTTGCCTTGAATAAGGCCAACCTGGTTCAATCCCCAGCACCACAAATAGTCCCCTGAGCACTGCCAGGAGTGATCCCTGATCACAGGAGTAAGAAAGCCCTAAACACCATCAGGTGTGTCCCTCTCAAATAAACAAACAAACAAAAGTATGTACCACTGTCTGTAGCACTGTCTTCCTGTTGTTCATCAATTTGCTTGAGTGGGCCCAGTAATATCTCCATTGTGAGACTTATTGTTACTGTATTTGGCATATTGAATACGTCACAGGTAACTTGCCAGGCTTTGCCGTGCAGGCGAGATACTCTCGGTAGCTTGCCGAGCTCTCCGAGAGGGGCGGAGGAATCGAACCCGGGTCTGCTGGGCTGGCTGCGTGCCCTACCGCTGTGCTATCGCTCCAGGCCTAACAAAAGTATAAGTAAATTTTGTATAATAATGTCTGGGCTACTATCCTGCAATATCATTTCTCTAATTTAGATGCATAATGATACAAAACTTACCACCTTAACCATTTAAGTGTATATACTGGTGGTGTTAAGTATATTTACACTGTTGTGTACCCAATTCCCACACTCTTTCATCTTGAAAAATTGAAACTCTAAACTCATTAAACTGTTTCCATCGCATCTTGAAAAACTGAAACCCAAAACTCATTAAACTCTTTCTATCCCATATTATTTATTAACCATAAAGGTTCCACTCCTCCCTCACAAGACTGAATAAAAATTTGATCCTAATGACTTAGCCAGTTGAAAAATTCATTCCCCTAAAAAATTTCTGGAATTCAACCTCCTCAAATAACTCTATAACTCTTGTATTAAGAAATTCAATTCAAGCCACTAGTAGTCTGCACCCATATTGAGTTGATAATTTATCCCCCCCACCCCACCCCACATCCTCTGAGCTGATAATTTAGGCTTGGGAAGTGAAGTATTGCCAAATCTATACTACAACCATGAAAAAAAGGAATTGGGGGAAGTAGGCCACACCTGACAGTGCTCAGGACTTACTCCTGGCTCTGCACTTAGGGAACACCCCTGGCATAGCTCAGGGGCCCATAGGGGATGCCAGCAATTGAACCCAGACTGGCTACCTGCAAGGCAAGTGCCTTACTTGCTGTACTACTACTGTTGCAGTCACAATTAAAAAATATATTTTAATTTAAAAATGTCTATAAGTGATTTTCATTCCTTTAATCCCAAAGCCCAGAACTCCTATTCTATTTCCACTTCTTGCTTCGGGAGAATTTCTCAAGTAGATCAAAAAGAAAAGTCAAGATATTTTTGTTGTTCATTTGTTTTGGGACCACACCTGGCAGTTCTCAGGGCTGACTCCTAACTCTATGCTCAAGGATCACTGCCGGCACCTGACCATATGGGATGTGGAGACACGAATCCAGGTCAGTCATGTGCAATGCAAGTGCCCTGACTGCTGTCCCATTGCTCTGGTCCCCAGAAAAATCTTAGAGAGTTTAAGATGGGTAAGAATGTCATATTCCATTTCCCAGACAAAAATAGGTTTGAAGTCCGAACAGCACAGTTCTTCATTTATTTAATGTTTGCAGTGCCAGGAATTAAAGCCCACTCCTGAGCCACATCCCCAGACCGTGTCTGTCAACTTCATTTAATAAGGACATATCTAACATGAAGTAGTTCTGGACCAAAGTGCAGTCTTTCCTCATTTTCCCCAAAGTAGTCACCACAAAACTTCTTGAATAACTTCAACAGCATGACAACAGACTGAAAGTGATGAACACAAAACTCAGAAATTCCTGAAACTTTGTCATCAGTGCCCTGTGAAGACACCAGCAATAATTCTAGGAATTTCAAAGTCAGGCATTTTCCACATGCTTACCGGCACATCAAGATTCTTTTACAGGAAGACTCTTTGGAGTTGAAATACAAATCGAAAGAAACTACTGATGTCAAAACACTTGGTAAGACTGTCAGACTTCGCAAAGGAAAGTTATCGCACCCACAAGGCAAATGGGCTCAGTAAAGGCACACTTGCGTGGAAGGAGTAAACAGAGCAACGAGCTGCAATTAAATCACTACCTTGGATCTGTCACCCCACACCAAGGTTTGCTCGTCTTTTGAACAGTGCTCAACAGTGTCCTGGTCTATTTCATGACACTGTGTTGAAGAGCATGTGAACTGGGTGTTGTGAGGAGTAATACATTAGGGAAGAGGCTACAGTTTCTGTGCGACCTAAATACCCACACCTGAAACTTTGCTCCACTTTACAGCTGCCATTTTAGGCTGTACCACAATATAATGATAAGGGTTCCCCCCCCCCACAAATATATTAGAAAACTTAACTGTTGATTAAAAGGCAAAGTAGAATCTTTATTTAAAAAAAAAATGTTTTTGATCTTCCATGTGATGCTCATGAGGCCACTGGGCCTCTCTGGTGATTCTCAGGCAGCCAGGCAAGTGGCTCAGTGGCGGGGTCTGAGGAAACAGTTGAGCGTCCAGGCATACCTGACTCCCAGGGCAGTGCTTTGGGGTCCTTGGTGTTGCACTTTGAAATGTACAGGGGACCATGCGGTGACAAGGATCAAACTCAGATCAGCCACATGCAAGAGATAACCCTTGTACCTTCATAAATGATTTTTTAAAGGACCATGAAACTTCCAAATGTAATATTGTGCTTTACTATGTATCACTGTGTCACTGTCATCCTGTTGTTCATCAATTTCCTTGAGCAGGCACCAGAAACGTCTCCTTCGTCCTAGCCCTGAGATGTTAGAAAGTGCCACATTCGAGGCTCTTTCAGGGTCAGGAGAATGAGACCCATCATTGTTACTGGTTTCTGGCATATTAAATATGCCACGGGGAGTTTGCCAGACTCTGCTGAGTGGGCAGGATACTTTTCGTAGCCTGCCAGGTTCTCCAGAGTAAGAACTAGATAATAAGATGTCCGGGAGCTGGGTTTTATAGTCTCTGGGTCTTGGCCTCTGGGGGCAGTTGGTGGGTGTAATGCCTACATCCTGGAAGATGGGGGATCTGGGTGGAGGAGACCCAGTCCCAATCCAAGCAGGCTTGGAGATCTAAGCCCCGGGTCCCGCACACCTGGGTTCCTCTGACGGTTCCTTCATGTGTGAGGCTCGTCCGAACGTGTGGAGAATGGTCTTAAGCATGGCTGTGGCTGGAACCGGGGGTCTTCAACTGCCGAGGCTCTGCTTTACTATGACTCTAAATTATTTCTTATTTTTCCACTCATCTTTTCCTTTATGGATCTTCAACCTCTATCACTTCAGCCACTGCAGCCCTGTCCCAACTTCTTTGTAAGACTCCAAGCTAGGGCTCAAGAAATAATGCAGTTGGTAGGGATTTTGGCTTACATACAGCAGCTCTGAGTTTGATCCCTGGCACCCTGAGCACTCTTAGGAATGATCCCTGAGTGCAGAGCCAAGAGTAAATCCTGAGTATTGCTGAGGGTGGCCCAAAAACAAAATTAAAAGTTGCCAAGCTAACGGTCTCCAATTACCTGGCCAAAGCCAATAAAAAATAAAATAAAGCAAAAACATAAAAGGTATATTCTTCAGCCATATTCACACAGATCTCTTCAAAAACCCCTGGCTCTGTTGACCAGATTCCAGAACTGCCCCCCAAACCCAGGACAATGCCAGAGTACACACCCAGAAGTAAGCCCCGAGACCTCTATTCCATGAAAAGCCTATGGGTGAATCATATCAAAAAGAACTTGCCTGCCTAGGGAAGACTAGAATGAAATACATCAGAATTCTAAACTCTAATTGATCTGTGTGTCAGTGATCATAGCTACGGCTGATATTTCCACTTGCCTCCCAATTTTCTTACTGTTTTCCAATGAGGTTATATTATTATTCAAGACTATTCAAAAAATTAAGGTTAAGAGAAGACTCCTAAGGATATCATACGCCAAAATACTAATTTAGTTTTGTTTCTGTTTCATGCAACAGTACCTTCTATTTGCTGGCTTCCTTAGCACTTAAGTATGTTCCTAATTTGTGAAACTGGCACAGCACCTGCCTGGACCTCTCTACCTCCCACGGGTTAGTAAATCACAAAGCCTTAGTTTGAGATCAAGATCAATCACAAAACAGTTCAGAGTTAGACTGCCTTGAACCCCCAGATACACCTACGCCCCCATCCTGACCTGCTCATATTAGATGTTCCATGCAGTCCAGATGCCTGTTTTGTGTCAAATGAAGCACAGTAATGACTGCTTGCTGCCATAGCTGACCGAGACCTGTTAATAAAAAAGGCAGAGAGCTGTTTTAATTTCATTCTTACAGAAAAATAAATACAAAAATACAACTGCACAAAGAAAAGTCCTTCATTTATTTAGGACATCTCACCTTCCTTTTGTAAATTTTGAAAATAAGCATCAAAATATCTAGTTATATACAAATACTGTTTTTGGAGTTTTTTTATTTTTTTTAATTTTTGGGTCAAACCCGGCAATGCACAGGGGTTACTCCTGGCTCTGCACTCAGGAATTACCCCTGGTGGTTCTCAGAGGACCATACGGGATGCTGGGAATCTAACCCAGTCAGCTGCGTGCAAGGCAAATGCCCTACCCACTGTGCTATTGCTTCAGCCCATGAATACTTTTAAAGTTCAGCCCAAATAAAATAAAATTTATTTTTATTCTAATATACACAAGCAAAAATAATTCTAACACTCTATCACTCACCACCCAAAGATAGCAGAGTATCTGCATATATATCCTTTAAGGTCTTTTGCCAGGAAAATAGTTTTTTTCAAAATGTATACTTATAGGTTTTATAAAAATAAATATTGTTCTTAGGGAAGTAAAACTTTTTAATCTTTTAAGGTCTCTGGATGGTTCTGAGAACTAAAATGACAATAATAGATGACCAGGAAAAAAAGCAATTATTTGATATCCCATGTGCATAAAACAACTGAAGTTTATTAGGCTCTGCTAAAATCAAGTCAGTTGCACTAGAGTCATATATATATAACTTGTATGACCCCTTCACACATGTAAACTACTGTCCAGAATTCATTTTATTAAGAACCTTCCTCTCTCTCTCTCTCTCTCTCTCTCTCTCTCCCCCTCCCCCCACCCTCTCTTTTGATTGGGACCACACCAGATGGCAGTACTTAGGGTACCATATGTGGTGCCAGGAATTGAACCTGAGCTGGCCATAGACAAGGCAAGCATCTTATCCATTTATTATCTCTCTGACTTCATATTTTCTTTTAAAAATAAGAAACATTTTAAACACATAGATAAAATAATATTGCAAATAAATATATTTAAATAAATACATTTAACAATTATGAAACCAAGAGTAACTCAACTTCCAGCTACTTGTTAGCTTGAAAATAAGACAAAAGATAACAAACAGTTGGGACAGGAGCAATAGTCCAGCTGGTAAGGTGCTTGCTTGCCTTACAGGAGGCTGACCTGGGTTTGATTCTCAGCACCACATATCGTCCCCCAAGCCCTGCCAGAGTTATCTCTGAGAAGAGAGCCAGGAGTAACCCCTGAGCACTAATGGATATGGCCCCCCACCAAAAAGGCAAAAAAGCTCTCTCAATGTCATCTTAGAGTACCATCTATCATCTCTACCTAAGGGATATTCCAGAAGATATTTTTGTTTGATTTACTACTTACTTTTTTCTAAGATAAAAAGAATCTTTGATTTGACAAGCTAGTTTGATTGGCTTTGCAAACAAACTGATTTAGTCATGCCAGTTAAAACACTTGAAATTTATACACGTGAAATTCTTTGTGTATACATAAACAGCATTGGAGGGTGTATGTTATTCTCTAAGCCATTCAATGAGCATTTCCAATGTGTGTCTTCTGTGTCAAGTATATTGACAAGTGCAGGGAATAGAGAGGAATGTGTAAGACAGAAGTGTGATTTACTAGTTACCATTATGCAAATAATTTGACTGTTAAAATTATGGATTTATTGTCCTGTTGGAGAGTATTTACATTGATATTTAACAATTCCTACTCCAATCTTCAATTTCCTAATTGCACTTGGAACTAATTTGCCCATCTTGCTGATTACCTAAGTGAAAAATCCTTGACCTGTGTTCACTCTCTAAGTATTACACTTACACAGACTGAATAATGCTGCAATCTCTAACAGAGAGCAAATTTCCATATATAGTTCTATTTCAGTTCATGTTTCTGTCAACAAAGGACCACATACAAAATGATGTCCCAGTAAGCTGTGCCAGTAGTTTACAATTATTTTTCCAAATAGGAGCCTCCCATTATCCCACTGGTACTAGGAGGGCCTCTGGGCCACTCCCACCAGTCCTCATTGCCTTGGTCACTCAGGGTCTATCAGAATTTGACAGCCCAGCAGTGCGGCAATCATAAGGGTTACACTAGCCGGTGCTGGAGGATGGGGGGACATTAGCCAGTGAAAAAACTGGGGACTTCACATACGCTAACCAATTCCTCAGACCCTGGTTTTTATTCTTTTTAAAACTTCAGACCAGCACCCAATCTATAGATAACTGGGTCAAATCATCAGTACTGAAAATTATTGGACTATACCATGTAGTCTAGTTACAAAGTACGTGATGGCATGAAAGTTTGTGTAATTACACTGTATGACATTTGCACAATGATGACACTATCTAAGAAAGCATTTTTTAAATAATGTATCCCAATTATTAAGTGACATGTTACTACAAGAAGGTCTGCTTCTAGGGGCTCTGATTTCACTCACATGAAAGGTACCGTCTTTTTTACTAGAAACTAGGATTTAGACCAAGAAAAAGCAAAAGTTAAGCAATTCGGCAGGAATAATAAAGCTGGGGAAAAAATAGCAAAGGATGGACCATAGTCTGAAAAAAAACCAAAGTACTCAAATAATAGATTAAATTTAGTAAAGTTTAAAGTCCATCACTCATAAACATACAGAATTCAAGGTACTTATTTTTAAGAAACACAAAGTCATATAGTTCATGCTCTCAAAGATGATAACTGAGTGAGACTCAATTATAAATTCCTCATCTGGGCTAAAATAAAAAAATCCAAGTGAATAGAAACTGGATGAAAAGAATGTTACTTAGCAACATGGTAAAAGATTCTGAATTATTTCAAAGTGTGCTTATGAATACAATGATCTCTTTGATGCAAATTAATCTATATTAATAGGAGCATAGTACCTAGAAAGGAAAGAATAGTCTAACACACCACACACACACACACACACACACACACACACACACACACACCCATCACCTGAATCCCCATCGAAGTGGAAACTTTTTTCATGAAAGGAGAATAGATTCAGCTCCTAGGAATGTCTCACAAGTGGACACTGTTATCATCTCCTCATCGGCCACCATCCAGATCACATGGCTTTTTCTCCTGGAAGGGAGCAACATGATACCCACCACAGCCATGCAACCGGACCCCATGCCAGGCTGTTTTACTCAGGGTGCCCCAGAGGGGGGCAGGTGAGAACCTTCCCCGCCCCAAGGGACCCAGCCCCAGCAGTCGAAAACCTCCAGAACCCAACCACCGCCATGCTCAAGGATGCTCCCCACATGCTCTGGCCGAGCCTCACAAATGAGTGAACATATTCCTGAACACATCATAAGACACTGCCTTCCCATTCTCCAAGAGTACCACACCACATTTGATGGGGTTCAAATAGATGGGGCAACCAAACACAGAGGGAAATATATATATATGCATATATACATATTTTCTGATATATATACACAAGCTCACACCACTCAACCTTTAACATGTTAGTGATATCCTAAAGAATGTCTTAATGGTCCCTGCCAAAATAGAACAATATTCACAGTTACCCTATGGATGATTTTTTGCAGCATGTTCAGCGGTTTTCCATAACAGACAATACAAAATATATTATTTTGGTTGTACTTTGGGAACAGAATTGGGGCTTGTGATGGAAACATCCCAAATATGGTGGTGGGAAGGTGTAATGGTGGTGGGATTGGTGTTTGAATATTCAATGTAATATTGTAAACTACCTTATAAAATGGGCTGGAGTGATAGCACAGCAGGTAGGGCATTTGCCTTGCACGTGGCAGACCTGGGTTCGATTCCTCTGTCCCTCTTGGAGAGCTGGGCAAGTACTGAGAGTATCCCGCCCGCACGGCAGAGCCTGGCAAGCTCCCCGTAGCATATTCAATATGCCAAAAACAGTAACAACAAGTCTCACTATGGAGACGTTACTGGTGCTGCTCGAGCAAATCAATGAACAACAGGACAGCAGTGCTACAGTGCTCTCACAATCACGATCATCCTGTTGTTCATCGATTGCCTCGAGCAGGCCCCAGTAATGTCTCCTTCGTCCTAGCCCTGATTTTTTAAAAAGTGCCATATACAAGGCTCTTTCAGGGTTAGGAGAATGAGACCCATCATTGTTACTGGTATTTGGCATCTTGGCAAACGCCACGGGGAGTTTGCCAGACTCTGCCGTGTGGGCAAGTTACATATAGTAGCCTGCCAGTTTGTCCAAAGTAAGAATGAGATAAATAAACAGTGCTATAGTGCTACCTTATAAAATAAAAAAATTAAAAAACAAACAAACAAAAACAAGTGGACACTGTTGGTAACACTGCTGAAGGACTGATCAAATAAATAGACTTTTAGCATACATGAAGACCAGAACTACTCATGGCTGGTCACATTTGGTCATTCCAATGTAGTGGACAGACTATTCAAAGATCAACCACTGGGAATGTAACTAGTGGCCAACAGTCAGGGAGAGAAAGATCCCTAAGCCAGTTCAATTCAAGGAAGAGCCGAAGAAAGTAGAAAAGTGAAGTTAGAAGTAAAAGGAGTCCGTGGAATACAGAGAAAAGGAAAGTCCATGAAAGCCTTTTCCAAGTTTTGTGCTCCCTTGGAAAGTTCCAACACATCCTTCTAGACCACCATCTCTGGAGCAACATCCTACTTCAGAATGACTCCAGCAGATAGATAACAATGTATAAAGAGAGAGAACAATAAACAAATGTGTTAAAATGTTAAAGATAGAATAACTGTATACAGAAGTTCTGTATTATTCTCACAATTTCCCCCTAAATTTGGAAATAGTGCAAAATAAGAAACAATTTTTTTCTTTTTTTCCCTTTTTTTAAAATTAAATCACCATGAGATACACAGTTGCAAAGTTGATTAAGAAATATTTTCAAAAACAGCTTAGCTCACTCTATAGCAAAGAGCAGGACAGGGATCAAATGGGCGTGAACACCAGTCAATGCTGAGGGAAA